TTTTTGACCAAAATTAAAATTATTTTGAAATAAAAATGTGTTTTTTAGGCTAGCTATACCACAAATTTTTAAAAACTATTATTTTTGGCTTCTTTTTAAATAAAAATTTTCAAAAATTTCAAAAAGGATCATTTTACAAAACCAAGTCAAAACCCATTAAGAAATGCGCTAAAATGTTTAGATTGAAAGTTGCTTTAACTTTTGTTTGTCACTTTATCTATTTCCACGTAAAATCTTTTGTAATCGACTAGTGGAAATACTATCCGACCGGTCGAAGGTAGGTGGACTAATTGTTTCACTTTTTTAGTGGTTTGGACTTAGGTTACGAAGTTTTTGTGGACTTTAGATCTTGATTTGTAGCTTTTTTACTAGTTTTGTATGTCTTATTTGTCATTTTTTGAGTTTTTCTATGAATTTATTTGCACCGTGCAAAGACGTTTAAGCTTGCACGGTGCAGCCAGCCAGGTGGAAAATGGTCATACTGTTTTGAAATATAATAGAAACGTTTTTAAGTTTATAATGCGTAAAAAAACAGATTGAAACATAGGTAACATAAATAATGGCACTTAAAAAATTACTTATAAAGCACTAAAAATTGTATCAAAAGTTAGGTTTTACGTTTTATTGCACTTTTATAACAACTATCTTTTGCACCGTGCAGTCGTTTATAGTTTGCACTGTGCAACAGTGCAAATTTGTTAAAGCGCACCGTGCAGTCAACAAATACTTGCACAGTGCAACTATTTTTTTGGTTAAAAACGTCATTTTTTTTTTAAATTAGGTGTTTTTTGACATTGTCAGCTTCTCAAATTGTAGAATAAAATTTTTTGCCTTTAAAAGATATAAAAAATATTGTTTTCATAAAAAGAATTTTATAAAACCTATTTTTACTATATTCCGGCACGTTTTCCCACAATAATCGTTCTTAATTGTCGTGACAAGGGCAACTAATTAATTTTTTTTGTATTTCATAAATCGTTTAGTCTAATGGCATTATTTATAGTTATCCTACCGTTATGATAATGGTTTTAAATTAGGATATAAGCTTGGGTTTTGTATCTAAATTAATATTTTTTAGATTCTTGAAGCTATAACAAGTTTGTACTAGGTTTTTTTATTAGGTTTATTATTTTGAAAGCTTGTCCTTTATAAATCTTCTTTAAATTTTTTAAATTTCGACCGTTTTTGATAATTTTTCGTGATTTATCAGCCATTTTTGGCTATTTTTCACCTTTTTTTGATACAAAGCAATGTAAAACCAGAGTAAAAACACATTTTTCAGCTAGCCATTGCCTTTCTACGTCTTATTATAGTACCAGGTTAGACCATATTGGCCTAGCCTTTTCAAACACTAGCCAAAACGGAGCCCACAGTCAGTCAAAACCTATGGCATCGTAAGTTTTTCTTTATTTTTTTGAAATTTTTGTTAGTTTTTTGCCTTTTTTTAATAGCTACAAAAGAAAAAATATGTTTTACATGCCATTTTATATCTTATATGATGTTAGTTTCACTGAAAAGAAGCAGTAAAATTGAGTTTTTATTGAAAAAATGAGCTTTTGAAGCCAATAAACCAAGCTTATTCTCAATGGAACGCTTAATTTACTAAACTTTTGATGTTTTTCACACCTACATACTCTGGTAATTTAGTTTTTGAAAAGGTGGTTTACGCCTGGGGGCGTGAAAGTGTTTTCAGCTTGTTTTTTATAATAACTTTTAGTCTAAACTTTAATTTATGCACTGTGCAAAGAAATGTTTGCACGTTTCAGACACCGAAGGAGTGCATTTATTATTTTTTTGTAAAAATGACATTTTTATTACCTAAAATACGGTTGGAACCTATTTTAAGCATTTCCAAGGCATTTAAAAGAAACTTACAGTAGCTTTATTTTATGCACCGTGCAGAATTTTATTGACTGCACGGTGCAACAGTGGAAATTTCTTAAGGCGCACCGTGCGGTCAAAATATTTTGCACGGTGCAAAAAATTAGTGTTAAAATATGTTGTTTTATCAATTTTTATTACCTAAATTAAATTTTTTGCATTTCCTATGAGTATGCAGAGCATTTAGTACTACTTTTAAGCCACAAAAAGTCATATCAAAAAACCTTTTTTTTGAATTTTCAAATTTTTTTGTCACTTAGCTGCCATTTTAAAAAATTAGTCATAGAAAAGCCCAACAGTGTAGGCAAGGTCGTTTTTTGTGACAAAAGACAAACGTTTGAAAGCGAAAAAGTGAATGGGAAGAGAGCGCCGGATCAATTACATCCAAGACTAATCGGCTCTCTTAAACTTTCGAACCTAGGATTTGAGAGAAACGTTTGCGGGTCATAGGTTTGACAAACTTTTGGGGTTGATTTTATGCTCTATTTTACATTTTTTGGGATATTTAGTGGTTAATTTGTTTTAGGCTAGCTGAATTTATGTTTGAGGTATTGGGTTGCACTTTAGGCTTAAAAAATTATTTTTGGGCTTAAAAATAAAGGTTAGGTTTAAAAATGACTTTTAGGCTAAAAATATAAGTTTAAGCTTAAAAAATGCTTTTCAGGCTTATAAATGAAAATTCAGGCTTCAAAATTGAATTTTAGGCTAAACAATACATTTTAGGCTTAAAAATCAACCTTTAGGCTCATAACTTGCTTCCTAGGCTTACAATTAAATTTTAATTAATAAAAATAACATTAAAATAAATTTTTTATGTTTTACTACGGTTTAACAGAAACTTTATTTTTTGCACCGTGCAGAGTTTTAATGACTGCACGGTGCAACAGTGCAGATTTGTTAAAGCGCACCGTGCAACAGCAAAAATTTTGCACGGTGCAAAAAAGTGAAGCCGTTTTTTTGATCAGACAGAAAATAACGTTTGGATTAAAATGTTAATTTTTAGGTTAGCTATACTAGAAGTTTTTTAAAAAGTATTATTTTAGGCTTGTTTTTAACAAAATTTTTTTTTTAATTTTAAAAAATTTACAAAATTAAGTCAAAGCCAGGGTTTTTGTTGTATAGGAGTTGGTTATAGAGAAGCTTTATTAAAGTGGAGTTCAATATAGAGTAGTTTGTTATATATGAATTTGTTATACAGAACGTTCACTGTACAAATTTTAAATTTTTTAAGTAAATTTTGAACTTTTGAAACCAAGACCCAACACGATCAGGCCAAGAATGTTTTGGTCGATCACATGAACGACAAACACAATGTTCGAGTAATCGGATCCACGGAATTGGCGGATTTGATAAAAAAGAGCAAAAAGCTGGTCGACAAACAAAATAGCGTAAAACACGCGCACTTTCGACTCGTCTCGGTGTCTTGTCACTGTATTTGAATATGGTTTTTGAAACTTTGGCTGCACTTGAGGTTTCTAAGTTTAAGGTTTTTGAAATTCTTAAAGTTAAAACAATTTTTTGATTTAAAATAGAAAATTTTAGGCTATAAACTGAAGCATAGGTTTAAAATTATCTATTTAGGCTTAAAATTAATTTTAGGCTTAAAATTATAAATTTAGGTTTAAAAATAAGTTTTAGGCTTAAAAGTGTAAATTTAGGCTTATAAGTATAAATTTAAGCTTAAAAATTAATTTTAGGCTTAAAATTATAAATTTAGGTTTAAAAATAAGTTTTAGGCTTAAAAGTGTAAATTTAGGCTTATAAGTATAAATTTAAGCTTAAAAATTAATTTTAGGCTTAAAATTATAAATTTAGGTTTAAAAAATAAGTTTTAGGCTTAAAAGTGTAAATTTAGGCTTATAAGTATAAATTTAAGCTTAAAAATTAATTTTAGGCTTAAAATTATCTATTTAAGCTTAAAAATTAATTTTATACTTAAAAGTGTAAATTTAGGTTTAAAGATAACTTTTAGGTTTAAAAGTACAATTTTAGGCTTAACAAGGATCATTTCAGGCCCAAAAATAAATCTTAGGTTTAGTAGAAATCTTTATGCTATAAACTGAACCTTAGGCTTTGAAAGCAATGTTAAGGCAAAAAAAATTATAATTTAAGGCTTAAAAACATAACTTTTAGGCTTAATAGAAACTTTAGGCTGTAAATTGAATTTTAAGCTTACTAGGTAGCAATATTAAGCCTAAAAATTATAATTTTAGGCTTAAAACATAAATTTTAAACTTAAAAACATAAAGTTTAGGCTTAAAAATAACTTTTTTGATTAAAAAATAGGAAACCTCAGGCTAAAAACGAAGCTTAGGCTTATATAGTCAGCATAGAAAGTGTAAGTTAGACTTAAAAGCTGAATTTTAGGTTAAGGAATGACGTTTTATGCTAGAAAATCAACTTTTTTGACATAAAAAATTTGCTGTCTATTTATACCTTTTAAGCCACAAATATGAAAACAAATGCACTCGGGTCAAACAGGCTATAATGAACAACAAAACTACTTCCTGTCAAGCGGTATTTCATAAAATCCCCTTTTCACTTATGTTTTTGATTATATTGACATGCTTGATGTCAAGTGACAGTTGCCAGTCTACTAAACTTTTAGTCGCATTTTTTGATTTTTTTGGACTTACTGGGCTGTTTTATCAACGTGGAAGTGGATTTTGGTTTTTTTTTGTTAAACTCGATTTAAAAAAATTTTTTTTTGAATTTTTAAATTTTTTGAATTTTTTAAAGATTTTTTGAACTTTCCAAAATTTTTTGAAATTTTAAGTTTTTGAACGAAAAATGTAAGATTTTATCATTCTAAACCAATAAAACACAAAGATTTTTGCTTTTACCGTGAAGATTCGAACGGTCCGTGACGATTAGTCAGTTTATTCTTTTAATTGGTAACTTGTAAAACGGAAATTGAATTCAATCCTACTAAGTTTGTGGCTTTGATATGTATATCAAGGTTTTTGATATTAGGTGCTGACATAAAGAACCCGTCATACTTTTCCTGTGATTTCCTGTAAAAAATGGCGGGTTCTTTATGTCGGCACCTAATAGAGGTTTACTATAATATTATAGCAAGAAAATTACTTTGTTTGAAGAAGGCTTAAATTGTAATTTCACTAAAAGAGCCCTGGCCGTGGCTTTGGTCCTGGTCCTGGTTCTGGCCCTGGTCCTGGTCCTGGTCCTGGTCCTGGTCCTGGTCCTGGTCCTGGTCCTGGTCCTAGTCCTGGTCCTGGCCTTTACCCTGGCGTTGGCATTGGTCCTGACTCTGGCGCTGACTCAGGCCTTGGCTTTGGCCGTGTTCGTAGCCCTAACTCTAGCCTTGCATCTAGCTTTTGCTGTAAATGCAATCCTACGCTTAGTCCTGACCTAGACTTTAACTTAAATCTTACTTTTATTGTAGGGCTTAAAGATAGGCTTAGATCTAAGCATAAGCTTAGGATTAGGCTTAGGATTCGACTGAGGATAAAGCTTAAGTTTAGGTTTTGACTCATGCTTAGGCTTAGGATTAGGCTTAGGCTTAGGCTTAGGCTTGGGCTTATGCTTAGGCTTAGGTTTAGGTTTAGGCTTAGGCTTAGACTTAGGCTTAGGCTTTGGCTTTGGCTTAGGCTTAGGTTTAGGCTCAGGCTTATTCTTATTTTTACGATTAGGCTTAGGGGCAGGTTTAGGCTTGGGCTTAGAATTATAATTATAATTAAACTAAAACAAAGAAATAATTGAAGGCCCAGTTTTAGGCTTAATTTTAAAATTAGGTTGAGTCTTATATTATACATATGCTTATGTTTGGCATTTTATTTGGTCTGTAAACAAAGTTTTTACGATTAAATAAAACATGCATACAGACATTTTTAAATAATACTATCAATCTTTTGTATTAAAATGAACGTATTTTCCTTTCCAAAAAAGCCGAATACATATTGAAAATGGAACAGTAGGGGTAAAAAAGCCTGCGGACAAATAAAGTGTTTTTGGGCTCGAAAAAGGGGCCATGTGTCTCTTTTTCGCTCAAAAAAAGACTTGCGATGGCCTGGCATCGGAACGAATTTCGTCTTTTTTACTCGGCCGTTACTTTTATTATCCAAAATCTTTTCGAAATTTCATTGTTTTGGACTGGGGACTTTGGTTTGTAGCTGTTCTTTGAGGAGGATATTAATTTAGGTGTCATTAAGGCTGTTTTTAAATATTTTTTTTTCAATATTTGTACTATTAAAGCGGGTAATAGTTGATGTTTTGAAGAACTTATGATAAGAAAAGCTGTGTTAGGCTTAGGTTATTGTTTAGGCTTAGGCTATTGTTTAGGCTTGATTTTTAACTATTTTAAGACAGGCTACAAGCCAATTTTGAGGTATTATGTGCCGACATAAACAACCCGCCCTTTTTTACAGGAAATTGCAGGAAAAGTATGGTGGGTTCTTTATGTCGGCACCTGATAGAAATAAGGCTAGACTTAGACATGAGGAACGGCCGGGAAGGGCTTGACCTAAATTTGGTTCGGGTCGCGTCGTGAATGGCCAAAATTTTGAACAATAAGGCCAAGGCTAAAGCTAAGGGTATGCCTAAGCCTAAGCGTAATCTTAAGCCTAAGCCTATGCCTATGCCTAAGCCTAAGTCTGAGCCTAAGGATATGACTAAGCCTACGCTTAAACCTAAGGCTATGACTAAGGCTAAGGCAACTCTAAGGCAAAACTAAAATAGGGCTAAGGGGGCAGGTTAAAACTTTTTTGAAGCTTGGTTAAGGCAATGGTTTCATTTTTAAGCTTTAATTTGTACCTTTTTAGCTGACAAACACCCCTAAAACCCTATTTTCTAGCCCTTTTTTTCTCCATACCCAATCACTTGCCGCTCCTCCTTACCCCTCCCAATCCATTCCCAATTAAAAACTTTCCCAAAAAAGACCATTCATGACAAATGTCATGTCATAAAACTCGAGATATTTTACATTTCATGTAGCCGTTGTAGACAGTAAACAGGTTTAAGCCGGCTTTAATCACACGCTTCGGCGTGATACCAAGGTTAAATTGGATCTTTTCGCTTGTAAAGGTTTTGTTTGCATACCATGAATGTACCTGAACACTCGTATTGTAACCGTTTTCATGGCTTCGGTAGGGGAAGCGCGCGGTTTCAATGGCTTTTGACGTCAATTCTATTGGCGGTTGGGTGGGGGGTTTTAAATGGTAGAGAGGGGGGGGAGGGGGGGTTTGGTGCTCTTGTTGTTGTACTTGATATGTTTTGATGGGGGGGGTTATGAAAAGTAGGGGTGGGCGTTTGAAGTTTTACTGGGTATGTTTTTATGGGAGGGAGGGGGGGGGGAGGGAGCCTTGCCTGTGCCTTGAGACGGAAGTTTGATAGCTTTGTTGTTGTAGTATTGGGTATTTTGATCTTGATTTTGATCTTTTTTAAACGGTTTTTACTTTGGTAATGACACGATATAGTCGGTAATTTTTAATTTTTAGTCCAATTTTGATCTTATTATAGTATTCTAGTCTCAGGGTTGGTTGGGGTAGGATAGTGTTGGGCAGAGGCCAAATAATCATATAGCCTGGTTGAGATTAGTAAGTCAAGGTCAGGGTTGAAAGGCGGGGTAAGAAGCATATGGTTGAGGCTGGGTTTAAACGTTTTTTGATAGGACTGATTCACAAAAAGAGAATACTGTGAACTAATTCTAGTCTAGGATACTTTAAGATAGGGTGATGCAGGAAAAGGGCATATAAATGACAAGGTAGGGTAGGTAAATTAAGTTAGGGTAAGATAGGGTAGGGTAGAGTAGGCAACTTTTTTTGTGGCTTTTCCCCCCTCCCCTTCTTTGCGTAAATTTTTTTTAATTGTTCCCCCTTCCCCCTCTCTGATCCTGCCCCTAGGGCCGGGCGGGGGTCGAAAAAATCGAAAAATCAACAGGGGGGGGAGCACGTTCAATCTTTTCGAAAATTTTTTTCTGGGAGGGGTCCCCCCCCCCTCTACCCATCCATCAGTCCCTTGCCCCCAGCGCCTCATTCTAGAAACCAGCTTACCACCCCCTTCATACCTTCCTTTTCTCTCCAGAACACCTTTCGTGTATTGCCAAGCTTTATTTGCATATAGAAGTAAGGCAAAGAACAGCCTTAATAGTTCCCTCCAAAAGTACATTTCGTTTCGAATTTTTTAGTTTTTTGTCGCCAAACTGCCTTTGGAGAGAAAAAAACGGTTTTTTTCCGAAACGAAGCGACTTTTTATGCTTCTTTTATGGAGCTCATATCAGGTGATTCCACTACTTGATCTGGGTCTCTACTCTTTGATTCTTGGGCATATTACTCTTGTTATTGTCGTTCTTATAGGTTTTTTGGCTTTTTTATGGTTTAAAGCTGTTTTTCATACGTTGGAAAGAAAGTTTTTGCGGTTTTTTTACGTTGGGAGTTTGGAAACAAAGTTCTTGCAGTTTTTTTGATTTTTTAAACATTTTTTTTTGGTTTATTGCGGTTTTTCGAAAAATTACCTTTGGAAAGATAGTTCTTGCGTTTTTATGAAAAATGAGTTTTCTTATCCTTGCGTTGCCCTTGCCCTACCCTTGGATTACATTTTCCCTGCTCTTGCTCTACCTTTGCCCTATTCTTGCCCTTGCTTTGCCATTAGCCTACCCTTACCATGCTCTAACGTACCCTTTTTCCCCTGCCCTACCTTATCCTACCTCTTCCATGATTTTTCGATACCTTATCTATACCCTACCCTGCTTACTGTTTTCATACCCTTTCCGTACCTTATCGATACCTTACCCTTTTCATAATCTCCCCTGTCCAATAAAAAATGAGCTATAATTTCAAATTAAAAATTTTTCAAACTTCCAAGTCAAAGTCCAGCTGGACCGTCAACAACCCTTCCGTCTCGTCTTAATTAAAATAGTGACAGAACACTTTGTAAAACGATCAGGGTAGTTAAATTAGCAACAGCGTTCGGGTGATAAGACCTGCCCTGATTAGGCGGGTTCTCATTTTAATTCCTTAATTTCGACGTTTTTAACGCCACATTAGGTTTGACACACGGCTTTTTGGGCAGTTTGAAACTCGTATAGTTTTTTACTCATTCACTTCTTAATGTTACTTTATATAGTTCTTTTTATTTTGAAACGTCATTTTGCTAATTTTGAAAAAAAAGTTTTAAAAATGAGGTTTGTAGACCATTTCGAACTTAATGTAGGGTTAAAAGGTAGGGTAGGTTTGGTCAGAAGGGGACATGTAAAAGCCAGAGGGGAGCATATTAGGGTAGAGTAGGGTGGAGCCGAGTAATGTAGGGTAGGGTAAGAAGAGATGCGGTAGCATATGGGCAAGGCATGGAAAAGGCATGGAAATTTTAAGGCAGATTAGGGTAAAAACAAGGCTAGACATGAGGAACGGGTTGGGCCTGAGCAAAATTTTGACCGGGTCGGACCTAACATTCAGTCCCGGCCCGTTCCTCACAGCTAGGCAAGGCAGGGCAAGGCATGTTAAGAATAGGTTGAAAGGTAGGATAGGGCTGGTCTAAGCGGGGTAGGATAAGGGCATTGGCGGCATATTAGGGCAGGGAACAATATGTTGGGTAGGGCATGGTAAGATTGGTTGAACATATTGGGGTAGGATGGGGCTGGATTGGGCAGGTTTGGATTGGATTCGTTAAGGTAGGGTAGGGTAAGGTAGGGTGAGATAGGGTAGGGTAGGGTAGGGAAGTACACTTTTTTTTAAATACTGGACTCTTATCATTTCACATTTTTTTATTTTTGTTTTTTACCTTTTATCATCAAAAGTGAACTTTTGAAATATCATGTAACTCTCCTTGCTGTCTTTTTGCTGCCGCTTATATGCTTCTAATGTTCCGCTGATGAATCATTAAAGAAGTTTCGTTTTAATATGCCTTTTCTTTTTAAAGTTTATTAAAAACTGCGAAATTTTGTTGTAAATTTTTCGATTTTTTAGGGTAGGGTAACATTTTTTCGCGATGGAGGGAAGGGTAGTATAAAAATTTAAATCTACGGGCTACGGCAAGGCTAGGGCTTGGCTTACGGCAAAGCTAGGGCTTGGCTTACGGCAAGGCTAGGACTTGGCTTACGGCAAGGCTAGGGCTTGGCTTACGGCAAGGCTAGGGCTTGGCTTACGGCAAGGCTAATGCTTGGCTTACGGCAAGGCTAGGGCTTGGCTTACGGCAAGGCTAGGGCTTGGATAGGGCAAGGACTATTAATTTTTTTTTGCACCATAGCAATACGTGGTACCTACTATAATATCAAAAATATTTATGTTTTACCTACTACAATATCAAAAATTTTAAAATTTTAATTTTTTCAGAATTCCCGCCGGCTTATCGGAAAGTGCCGCCTCCAATGGCCGCGCGGAATCAGGCGGCCGCGAGTGCTTATGGGCTCGCGGCCCACCCGACTTATGACGATTCGGCCTCAACTTCAGCGGCCAATTCACCCGCCGAATCCGTCGATAATGAACAGTTACGGAAGGCTTTAGCTGACGTAGGTTTAAAATTTTTGAAATTTGGTATGAAGTTTAGAAAAGTCGTGGATTTGGGATTTTTCCTCCCTAATTTGAAGAAAAAATCGATTTTTCGGTCGATTTTTTTAGAACTTCAAAAAATTATAGAATTTGTTTATGTTTAGGTAACATTTTGAGGAAAAGATTTTTAAGAAAAAAATCATTTTTTCAAATTTTAGGTACCATTTTGAAAAAATTTTATTTTTTTTTAAAGTTTAGGTAACATATTAATTAATAAATCAATTTTTCTTACATTTTAGACAACGTTCCGACTAAAAATTCAATTTTTTCTAATTTTGGGTAACATTTCTAAAAAAAATAATTTTTTTTAAATTTTAAGTAACATTTTGAAGAAAAAATTGATTTTTTCTAATTTTAGGCAACATATCGATCAAAAAATAATTTTTTCTAATTTTAGATAACATTTCGAATGAATAATCGATTTTTTCTAATTTTAGGTAACATTTTGAAAAAAAGTCTCTTTTGTTTCGTTCAACAAAATTAAAAAACTGCCAAAATATTGCCTTTTAAAAATAAAGAGCTCAAAAAGATGCCTTGAGGCCTCTTTTTCCTAAATTTTACTTCCAAAAACATAATGTTTATCTTCAAAACAACTTGAAAAGGGAAAAGCAAGAGCTTTTTGATAATAAGATTTGGTCTGGTCATAAAATCCATAGCTTTCCTCGAAGAAAAAAGGCGAAATTTTATATCTTGTTTACATTTTTTTTATCATCTTTGTTATGGTCAAAGTTTTAAAGTAAAGTTTTTTTCTATAGGAAGTGGTAATAATGTAGTAGGGTTTTTATTAGGATACCTACATTGGCCCCAGGGCATGGATTTTGGGACAATTTTTAGGTCGGCTTGGTTAATGACCACAGTTTTTAGACCACCCTTTTTATATGAGTTGGCTATGGCTAAATTGTAAAGTCGGGTAGGGTATCGAAATGGTAAGGCGCTTGTATGGCTAGGAAAAAACTTTTAGAAGGGTAAGACATCGGGTAGTATAAGCTAGAGTAGAACATATCTTAAAATGGCTTTTCCTACTCTTGCCATAGCCAAACCTTGCCATAACTAAGCAATAGCCTTACCATATCGCAGCCTTAGTCGTCCCATGGTATGGTAGAGGGTGGGTAGGGTCAATTTGGTCATGATGAGTCGGGAAGGGTAGTGAGAATTGACAATTCAACCCAAGCCTTACCCATACTCTGCTATTGCCTTACCCTGTACTTAACTTATTTCTACCCTGCCCCCTCTATACCCTAATTCACCCTACCCAACCTGACTCTACTGTTTTTGTCCTACCCTACCCAACTCTACTGCTCTAGTCTACATTGTTTGCTTTACCTTAACCTACTATACCTTACCATATCGTACTCTACCCTACCCTGCCCAACTTCCTACCATACCCTTTCACATACGTAGCTCTAGAACGGCCCTGCCGTGCCGTTCCAAAAACCCATCGCCCAAAGCCCTTTGTTTACTATCAAGTGTGTCAATCGTCCTTCGATGACACGCCGCACCGTGTTCTTTCGCCTGTTTCCATCAATCAGAACTATGTTACGGTTTTGCACGCATTTTTTGAATCAGCTCGGCATAAGTGGCGCATTAATTAAGTCCCCCTTTCTCGGATTTTCTTATAGGCATGCGCTCTTGAATTGAATCTCATCTTGGGCGTTCGCTTTTCGAGGGGGGAATGATGGATGGGGTGATGGATAAATGAACTTGGTTTAGCTAAATTTTTGGAATTTTACAGGCTTCAATCATTTTTAAGATAATGTATAGCTAGGCTAGGGTAATGTTTGTATATAGCCAGGCTTGACTATGACAAGAGCTTGGCTATGGCAAGAGCTTGGCTATGGCAAGAGCTTGGCTATGGCAGGAGCTTGGCTATGACAAAAGCTTGGCTATGGCAGGAGCTTGGCTATGACAAAAGCTTGGCTATGGCAGGAGCTTGGCTTAGGGCTTGGCTTACGGCAAGGCTAGGGCTTGGCTATTAATGTTTTAACCACAAAATTCAAAGTTCAGTTCGTACGCCAATTCCAAAAGGTTAATTCGATGAAAAACCTTGTATTTTGATGCCTAAAGTTCAAAAAAACCAAAATATTGACGTACCTAATGCACCTTTATATAACTTTTTTCTCTAAATCAATTTTCATTTATATTACCCTGCCTTGAAAAAACTCTTAATTTATATTATTCCCCCCGTCAAAAACACATTAAAAACTGTAAAATGGTTAAGTAAAAGCGGATTAGAACGGGTGGAAACTAACTAGACCGCAAATTAACTGTAAATTCGAGGCGAAACAGAAGGCCCTTCCTTTTGTAACGCTCAGACAAACGAGGGTTGTTTTACTTTGCTATGTTAATATTGGGTATTGAGTCGATTTTTGGGTAAAAATTTTATTTTTTATTCGATTTTTGGATAAAAACTGCTTTTTCTGTCGATTTTTTATGAAACATTGCCGTTTTCTTTAAGTAAACTCATTGTTTCGTCGAGTTAACTGTCATTATTTAAAGTATATTGATCTCAAATTCATCGTTAATTTGCAGCAAACCTAATTTATTTAATTTGACGTCTATTATGAACAATAATAACATGCTATAGCGGCTTGAATGGATCCAATTAGCGAGAAGAACGCTTTGGACTTTATGACCAAACGCACGGTGAACTTTTAACCTGAATATTAGGGGTTTTGATACCTAAACAGGTTCAAAATTAGAGTTTAGCTGTTGAATTGCTTCACAATTTCAATTTGCTACCTAAAATTTAAAATTTAATTGATTGTTACCTAAATTTAAACTTTTTTAAAATTGTTACCTAAAAACTTAAATCTTTTCAAAACACCTCCTAAAACTCAAAACCTATCCTTCAGTAATAAGTTATACTAACTATTAATCCATTTCAGAAAGACCAAGAACTAGAATACGTCGCGATTCTTGGCAATTCCCTTCTCGAACAGAACCGTGAGCTACAGGAACGGTAAGCGCACGGTAATGTGTTAATGTGCGAGTTTTTAGAAACGAGTTCCTTGAAGAGTCCCTAACTGCCAGTAATGACTGTATTCAACAGCTCAAACATCAATTACAACAGCGAAGCGATCTACTCGAAGCATATTCTGAGTATGATGAACAACGACGGAATTCGCCGACGGATAAGTAAGTTATTTGAGGTTGTAAACATGAAATTAGATATAAAAATACTGTATCAGCCCTCAACGCAAAATATTTTTCAAGTAGCATTGTTATAATTTTGATCATTTCTTAGTAAACGGAAGTTTGCGTTTGGCCATGAATAACATCCCTAATATCAAATATTTTCCACTTTCCTATTTATGTTAGACAGCCAAAATTGATCACAAAATGTTCTCAATGCCTTGATAAAGCTCTACTAAGAATATCAGAAGCTGTAGAAGAGCAGAACTTATAGAAATATTAAGTTAAGTTATCAGCGACAATAGATCACGTTTAAGATCAGATAACTTGAATGCCTTTCATCCACTTGACCAGAAATTCACCCTAAACATTCAAAAAAAACAAAGAAAAGATACAAACCGTTATTTCAGATACAATCCTGCATTTGTCGAACGTCTACAAGCACGGGTAAAGAAGTTGGAAGACGAGAATGAAGTGCTCAAATGCGAAACCAGCCGTCTGAACACAGCCGCCGTGGAATTGGAAGATCGGACTGAAGACCGGGTCAAAGACTACTTGGATCAGCTAGAACGAGCTAATTACAAGGTAAATTTCACAAAATTTAACTGCAAATCTTTTAAAAATAACGAAAAGCCATGAAAAGACTTAGTGTAAATATTGATTTTGAAGTAATTTATAGTTTTAGAAGTTTTTGTGTGTTTAATGCCATTTTTTGTGTAAATCCAAGTTTCTTTAAGTAATTTAAAACTACCAGATTGAAATTTAATAACTTTAAAGCTAATTTATATCGTTTTAGATCAGTCGACTTCAAAAACAGCTCAAGGACAAGACGAACGAATGTGCCGAGCAAGATCAAAAGATTCAACACTTCTTGAAAGAGATTTCCAGTCGAAAAAAGAACGAAAAACGACTGGATGAAGAGAATATGGATTTGAGAGAAGAGCTGACCGATGCTATACGAACTCACGAAGAATTGAAGCTCGAGGTGGAGCAGCTCAGCGAACGTTATGTTGAGGTAGCTGGTCTTTTGACGGAGACCAAGGATGAGTTGAGCATTCTGAAAAGCAAGCAAATGTAAGGGATTTTAAAGGTTTTTAGAAGGTTTTAGGTTAATTTTTATTGGTATTGATTATGGTTTAGTTGATTTTTGAGGTCATGAATAAGGTTATATTGAGGTAGATTATAAAATGAAATAATTTGATTGTGATTGATGTAAATGTTCTTAAATTGATTGGAATTAATGTAAATGCTTTTGAAAGTTGATAAAAAGGCTTGAAGACTAATTTTCTTATTTACAGAGGCAGTTGGGGCTCATTGTACGATTCCTTGGCCAGCGAGCTCGAAGCTTCAGATTCCGGCTTCTACAACACTCCGATGATTTCAGCTCGGTCTGATTCACAAACCTCAACAAATGACTCTTATGGTCCAATCTCTCTACAACAAGAGTTCGATCGGTTGGAGCCGATTGCTGAGCAACCATGTTGTTCTACGGCCACGGTAGCCGAGAATCTGTCGTTTGAGAAGAAGACTACAGGCGAGTCTTCTGATGAAGGTTTCTCCTATTACGACATGCCTTCTAAAGCTGTGTTATACGCTGTGCGTAGATCGATCAGTACGGAACGGAGAAGGCGGAAAAGTCCATCACATACGCCGTTCTCAACTCCAAATGAGAGTATCGATGATGGTGAAGATAAAAGAAGGCCGAATACGCTACAGTTGTGTTCACATCCATCTATTGGGTATTTGGAACCTGTAGCGGAGCAAACACCGTTGAATGACGATGGAAATTTAGAGATTCAGAAGGCTAAAGGGCTATTAGTTGGTCAAAATGGTGGTTTGGTGGCTAAAACGATTGATTCTGAAGCTAAAGTTGATGAAATTTTGCAAAACCAGGTGTTATTTGATGAAGAAAAGACTGTAGAAGATGTTAAAGGCATTGAGATTCCGGTACCATCACTAAAATTGGCAGAATCTTCTTCACCATCAAAGACCTACCGCAATCAGTCGTGTTCTCCAATTCATTTTGATAAAATTGATCCGCCCAAAGATCCAAACCCGCCAGATGAGCCAACACCACGTCCACAGACCTGTCTACCTTATTCTGGAGCCACATCGTATATGCCGAATTCGGAAACATCGAATCAGGCTTCAGATTCTAGCATAATGTCAGATGATGAGGATGCCAACGATGAGGTGAAGATGTTAACTGGAGTTGATACCAAGGCCATCAAGAGGGAGATGATGAGACAGGCGGCTTTGAATGAAGCTGGAATCTCAGAAGATGGAGATGGAAGGATTCTGGAAGGTGACGATGCGAAAAGGGATTCAGAAGGCAATGTTTTGGGGCTTGAACCTGAGGGTTTGGTGCTACAATCTGGCGTTTTTGGTCAAGAAGAAGGTGTTTCTGGCCCAGAATCAGGCGTGCTACGATCCACCGACATTGGTCGTTCTTCATCAACTATCTGGAAGTCAGAATCTACTCTAAGAAGGCCCTCGTACGTGTCATTAGCTACAAAAACCAAAGACACGACAGATGCTAACTCAAAAGAAGAAGACGATGACGATCTGACTCCACGAACTCTCGAGCTCTTGAACAACTACAAAGGTCCAAGACTAGGCGAGCCAGGCCGACCAGGTACCAAAGACCTCGAGTTCAGTCTGAAGCGGATGGAAGTCAGGAGAAAGGTAAAGAACACGCCTAACCACTCGCTTTGTGTTGTCGCTGTAAGTGTTTCAGCGTGGTGTTTGTTGCTATATTAACAAATTTGAATATTGTCCCGTGTGCTGTGGTTGTGTGGATTAAAAATGTTGGTTTTTAGGTAATAAAAGGGGTAGAAAGCTTGAAAAATTGAGGTAAAAGTCCGTTTTTTAGGTATAAATGGGTGGAAAATGGGGATATAAGAATGTGTTTAGGTATTAAAAGGGTTAAAAAGGCTGGAAAATGATAGTAAAAGGCTATTTTAGGTATAAAAAGGCTGAAAACATGAAACATTGAGCTGTAAAAGGCTGTGTTAGATAGGATAAGATGGTAAAATCAGAAAAAATAGGGGGAATAAGCAGATTTTTAGGTGTAAAAGGGCTGACAACATGAAAAAATAGGAAAATGTGAGTGTTTAGGTATAAACAGATATAGAAAAATGAAAAAAGGACAATAAAAATGATAATTTTAAGCCTAAAAGTTAGGTTTTTGGAGAAAAAACCAGAGTTTCAGGCTAAAATTCGCCTGTTTTTCTCATTTTTCGGACGTTGTTATACCTAAAATTAAATTTGAAGTGACAATAATATGTTTTTTGGATACCCTGTCGTGCTTCTATTACGCTTAAATTCGATAATATTGCACCTCTACGCACTTTGCTAACAAGTCTTCTAAAAAGCACTAACAATAACATTTTTCAAATTTTAACTTTTGATAACGAATGCTATGATAAGCATATGGGTTTTAGAAAATGGATGGAGTAATGCATTGGCAGGGTAAATAAATTAAAATGGAATTAGGATCTTTTTGGAAAATTGGAGATTTCGAAAAATCAACAGGGGGGACCAAGTAAAATATTTTTGAAATTTTTTTTTCGAAAATTGGGTTTTAATTGTCATTGTTAGCACTACTATTTCAACTCAACTTACTTTTTTAGCACTGAATTGTAATTTTTTTAATTCAAAATTTTTTCAAAAAAAAAATTTTGAAAAAATCAAGTTCAATACTTTTCGAAAAAAAACTTTTTTTTTGAAAAAAAGAGGTTAAATTTGTGTTTTTATTAGTAATTTTAACAATATATCAAAGGGTTTGCAAGAAAATGTGGTTTTGTTTTGACAGAATTCTGAATTTTCAAAAAAAAATTGAAAAAATCGATCAACAGAGGGGGGGGACCAATTTCAATATTTTTCAAAAAAGTTTTTTTTTCGAAAAAGGGGATTTGATTTGCCATTTTCAAACAGATACTTCAATGTTCTTTTAGAATTTTTTTGAAAAAGTCAATTTTGTTTTGGCAGAATTGAATTTTTTTCAAAAATTCATAAAAAAGTCAACAGGGGGGGGACCAATTTCAATATTTCTCAAATTATTTTTTTAAAGACCCCCTTTCCACACAATTCTAACCACGCCTGCCATTGTATTTTATGTGATTTTGGTTGTTGTTGCATTTCACGTGGACGTCTTTGTGTTTTTAGCCCGCCGACGGCCGGAACGTTTGGCCGCGCCGCTCGCGTACCCATTCAGCACCGTGCTGCATCGAAGTGGACCTGCTTCGCAATTGTATCCGGATTGAGAAGGGAGCCGGCCTGGGCCTGAATCAGTTCATTCGGCATGGAAATGACAGGTATCGTATTCCGTTCGTTCTGCTCACACTAATCCGCGCCACCAGGACATTGCACTTGCTCGGCATTCTGACTGCACACTAGCTTTTTCACTTTTCATATTCACTTTGGGAAACTTTTGCCTGTTATTCTACTAAAGAAGACGTATATTAATGTTAGATCACAATATGATAACATTACGATGCTTATCACACCCGTTATTTACCAAACAATAGACCTAATACCTACTACGATATAACCCAAGGACCAAATAACATTTTTTGAAAAAGATGGTCTTATTTTGTACAAAAAGACTTACTTTATTATTTTCTATTGCTACATAACATTTTTCTTTGGCTGAACGGAAGATATGACAAGTTACAGTACGAAGTTTGAAATTTTTGAAATTTTGCCGCTTTTATCCCCTGAAATGTCAAATCTTATGTGTTGTGAGTGAAAGTTGTATCAAAGTACACAAAAAATGTATTTTATGGCGTTTTGTTACCTAAAATTTCAATTTGTTTGTTTTTAAAGCGTAAAAAAAGTTCTGTCGTTTTTTACCGTGCAAGTCAATGTAATTTGACGACAAAACTTTTTTAAGGCCCCTAGAGGAGGCTGAAATTTTAAACAATAGATTTTTAGTTGGTTTGTTACCTAAATTTTCATTTTTTTTTGTTTTTAAAGCGCTAAAAAAGTCTTGTCGTTTTTTATCGTTGAAACTACTCTAAATTGACGACAAAACTTTTCTAAAGCCCTTTAGTTTGAGCCAAGGTTAAAAAACGTAAGCTAATCTTAGAGTTACTAGTCCAGACTACTGTATTTTTCCCATTTTCCCCCAAAAATAGCACCGTGCACCAGTGTATCGTTTGTTTCCCATGTTGTTTTAGTGTCTGTACCCTATATTTTATGAAATTATTGTGCGCATTGTCCTGTGGATCATTTTTGTTTTATCATTTGTGCTAGAAAAGTTGTTAGTTTCGGTCAAAAACTTTGTAGAATAGAGTTTTAAAGAGAAAAAGCTGTGTTTTCATCGGTTTTTTGGCCAAAAAATGATGATTTTGGTCTTAAAAGGTCATTTTAGGATGTATTTTGAAAGATTTTCACAAACTATGAGGTTTCTACAAACTTTTTGACTAAACTAAATCAAAAAATTTGAATAATGAATGTCGAAATTTCAGATTGAAGACGAGTACGAACGGTTTCGGCAACGTCGAGGTCTGGGACCATCAAAGGCACTGTTCTGTACCATTCGCCATGTGGAAAAGGTACCATTTTGTCTGGAAATTTAATTTTTGACAATTTTCATCTAGGCTATGTTTTTAAAAAATAAATTTTTAAAAATTTAAAAATTTAAAAATTTTTTTTTTCAAAAATTAAATTTTCAAACGAAAAATAGCCTAGGATTGAAGTTTAAGCCAAAAAACCCTTAGGGCATTTACCAAAAACTCAATTTCAAACTCAAATTTCGGCTCAAAATTGAGTTTTTAAAAATTCGGCCTAAGGCATAATAAATGACGTCTAAAAATTTCAGTCGAAACTCTACGGCCCTACTACTCAGCCTGGTACCGTGGCAGATCCTACTGGTCGTGTGGAACTGGTGGGCCAACCAACATCACCTCTTACCCACCCCCAAAACCCCCGCCAACGAGGACTGGATCCAGCAGGTGTATTGGTGGGTAACCCTGCCCTAGGCTACGGCAACTGGATCTCGATTGGAGCAGCGAATGCCAAGTTGACTCAAAATTCGATAAGAAACTCGAATTTCATACCTAATTCAATACCTACAACAACATCGGCCCATAACTTCAGTCAATATGATTATTTGGGTGAGGCCATGAATAATATCCAAAGCAGAGCCCAAAACCCACGCCCAATCACCAAAAGCTACTCGTTTGGACTGCTCAGTCGAATGCCCGGGCCACAAATGTCTCGGCTAGGCCTGGATGGAGCGGTCTTGGCCAATGAAAAGGATGGAATAGCTAATAAAGCGGCCGAACATGGAGTTGAGCTAAGGCGAAGGACCTTCAGTCCGGATGCCAAACTTTGTGATCAATCTCTACATGGTTTGGTAGATCGACCAGTCGATCATAATGCCAATCCAGATGGTTTCGAGCCCATTGCTAGCCAAAATTCAAGACCAATCACCCTCGAAACCCTTAATTCGATGGGTCTAACCAACAAAAAACAACGCCCAACAAGCTGGATCGGCCCAGAAAGCTGGATACCCACCGCCAATCCCGCTAACTGGTTAGCCTCTTTCTTTACAGGATCGGAAAGCCCAAAACAACAAGCTCATCACAATGGAAATGGCCAAAAACAGCATCAAAAACCATCCGAAGTCAATATCTCGAACAGGAAACCATCGGAAATCCAGCCTCCTCCAGCCAATCCCATCCCACCGACCGGTCGCAAATCCAAAGATTTCACATCAACAGGCCTTCTACTATCTACAAGCCAAAAATTAGTCCAGTCTGAAGTTAGGAATCAAGAAAAAATGGCAAAAATTCCCACTTCGAAGCCGAATTTCGCCGGTTTCGCGATGCCAACGATAAACAACTCGATTCTGGATCGTAGCGCTTTGCTACGGAATCGGCCTGGATAATTTGGAAGACAAAAACATCTTGTTCATCTTTTTGTGGATCCATAATTTTAGTTTTTAGCTTGTAGCAATGGTCAAAATTGTAAATTGTAACGTTCTCATGTACATTAGAATAGGTTTTTGGTAATTTTTAGGTATATAAGGTTTATTTTGTTGTTTCAGAGTAATAGTATGTCTTCTTCATAAGCAGTTAATACCCTCAAAGGCATCTAAATGAAACTTTCTACCTTAACAGTATTATATTTTTAAGCCCGAAGCTTTAATGCGATTGCACGGTGCAGACAAAATAAAGTCTTTGGTCTTGTTAATATTTCTTCGTTTTTTATCCTTTTTGTATCATATATTGTCTTATTGTCCCGTCTTTTCCTGTTATTATGGTCTTATCAATAATTTTTTCAAAATTCTTAACTTTTCAACGGGTTTTCTCAATGAATCTGCTCCGTCCACACCTTTTTTATCCCATATTATCAAGAGTTTTATCTAGGTCATTTGTAAACGCATTTACATATTCGTTTTAACACAATAAAAGTATCAGATTTTCTCAAACGTTGTAAATAATGTCGTGAAATCACAAAATACCTGAACTTCGGTGTCATGGTTAATGTAACTCATATCGGATTGATTTTAGGGGCTTTGTGGGCAACTTTGGGTTCGTTAGATAGATAAAAGAATGCAGAATCTTTTTATAACAATTTTATGAGCCGTAAAAGGAGTTTCGTGTTAGTTTGAAGGCATTTTCGCTTGTTATACATACCTAAATCCAAAAGCACATAAAACAAATAAAAAACTCACGTTCAGATGACAGAACCCGACGTTCCCGTTCGTGTAGTAGCTACTACAGTTTCCGAAGGAAATTGTCCATCGTGTGGACGTGAGGTAAAGTCAAAGGACGACAAATATTGCCGACAATGCGGCTTCAGGATCAACTTTCATTGCTCAAAGTGCGGAAAAAACGTAAAGTACGGGGTTTTATGGTCAATTATAAATTTGCACATAAAGTTAAGACTATTTTTAACTTATGTAAACAATTTTAATCTCTTATAACGGTATTCTTATCACTTTCGGCCGAATATTTCGAAATCCTTTTCGAAATTTGATCAAAGTAACACTTGACGCAACTTGTTTACTTGTGTCAAGTCTTTTTCTTTTGTTATTTCACGTGAAAAAAGCAAATTACGTCGAATTTTCAGGCCTGTGGACAAGTTTTGTGCTCATTGTGGTGCAAAGAGATGGCACTGGTATGAAATGTGGAGAATCGGAATTCTCCACCGAAATCCGGGCTTTGTATTGGGCACTACCGTGGTGGTTGCGGCCGCTTATTTTGGTTTATATATGTGGGTGAAAGGAAGATCTAGACGATTCTGAAAGTTGCCATTGTTTGCATTTGCTTGTTTATTACATTTTGATCATGTTTATTTGTTTTTGTCGTTAAGCAGAATAAAATTTAGCTAATATTGTTAGTGAAGAAGGTGTTGAGGTTATGCTGTTGATTCAGTTGGTATATCTTGAGATGGCTATTTCTAGATAGGATTTTATGGCTTAAAATGTCTAAAAACGTTAGGTTAATATCGAGCGGGATTTTCAATAGGTTTCATGAAGTTTCCACAAAGCTATGAGATTTTAACTTTGAGTTAGCTAGCTAATGTGGATGCACTTTAAACTTTATGCCTAAACGGTTTATATTTAAGCTTGTATTGTGAAACTTTAGGACATTATTGCTAGTAGTTGTATGCGTGTTGGTGCCAAGTTTGACGCCAAAAAGTTTATTTTCTCAAAAGTTATAACTAATTACTCGTTTATTGTTCTGATAATCCATTGATAATATATTTTTTGATATAAAACGACTTTTCTAGGTATTGAAAATGACTGAATCGCCAGTATTGCTTCCAGAAGCATCTCAGGACACTCTCTACACTTGCTCTTTGTGCAAGGTCAAGTGCATTCACACTGATGACAGAGTTTGCCCCAACTGTGGCTTCACGTTCAATTTCAAATGCCAAGGCTGCTCTAGATTCTTGAAGTAAGTCTTTGATTTTGTGTTTGAATTTTAGACGAAGCACTTACGAATGTAACAAAGTCAAAAAGAAGGTAATCTGTACCTATTTTCAGGCCACACAACGCATATTGTTCATTCTGCGGCCAGAAGCAAATTTCCTTTTTCCAACAGCTTCGTTACGACATTTTTCATCATCGCTTTGAGATCGTTACGGTTTCTCTGGCTTTGTTGGTCGTGTTGTACTCGAAGCGTCGTCATCCACGTCTCCCCAGATGCCATAATCAAAAGTTGGAGTTGCCTCTGCCCAACATGGAGAATATCGGAAGAACCGCTCAGGATTGGACTTCTTGGACTTTGAGCTGGATTCCTGGCGTCAAGTATTAGGATCTGGGGCAAAAATTCGAGGGGAATTAGCTAAAGTTTAAGGAAAAATAGCTAAGTGAGCTAAAAGTTAAAATAAGAGTTGTTTTTCGCTTTTACGAGATTTTTAAACCGATACGGTGTGTAGATACGACGGTTTTCACGTTTTGCAACATATTTTTCAATTTTCATAGTTTTCTTATTGTGGTATAACATACGGTTAACGAAATAAATTTATATTATTGTAATTTGATTGAGTTTTATGTTGTTATAGCTTGTGAATGGTTTGTGCTATCTTTTGGTATCTCTTTCATCGTATAAGGTGGCTCCCGCAGGCTGCAGTTTATAAAAACTTACTTTATTGCTAAAACTAATCTTTTTTGAACCATAAGTTGTCAATATCAGATCAAATCTCTTTTAGTTTGATTAAATTTATTGGCTATCTTATTTATACTTTCATATTATGTCACAAACTGACTAAATTATACTTGCGAACACTCGGTTTTCGATAAAATTTGAAAGAATTTCGTAAAAAAACTGTCGTCGTCGAGACGTTGAACACGTATGAATACAAATGTCATAATGGGATCAAAATATTATTATATACGTAGATGTTGAGATTGCAGTGCTTAGCTTTTGTTTTGAGAGGAAAATTGATGTTTTCATGGTTAATATCCGTTGTCCGAGACCAGGTTGTCGGCTCGTATCGTGCGGGTTCGGCGCACTGAAAATTAGGTATTGAATCGGTCAAAGATGACGTTAAATACACTGTATTTAAGGGTTGCACGGTGTAAAAAACATACGGACTGCACTGTGCAAGTTTACTATAGAAGTAAACAGCTTGCACGGTGCAGTCTTTAGTTCTTTGCACAGTGCAGTATTTATTCCTTTGCACAGTGCAGGCCCTTACGAAAGTAAACAACTTGCACGGTGCAGTCTAAATTACGTTGCACAGTGCAGTCCCTGTAGAAGTACACAGTTTGCACGGTGCAGTCTTAATTTACAATATTTTACACTGTGCAATAGCGATGTATTTTGCACGGTGCAATCAAAAAATGATAAAATTTTAAAAAACTCACGAGATTTGCGATTAAATTGCCGTGCCCTTCGTCGAGTGTGATCCCGACTTTCTGCTTGTGCCGTTACTGTTCTTACTACACCATCAAGTAGTTCATCTTCGACTGTTTCTTCTCCAGGCGACTTCCTCATCACCTCATTGGCAATGATTTGTCGCTCTGGAGTTGGTTGTCCAATGCGACGACGTTGAAGGGTGTTTTCATCTGAATTGGTGTTGTTCGAGAGGAATCGCTGCATCTGTTGGTGGCGCTGGAAAGATTGAAAATAAGGTTTTAGGTAACAAACCGCAAGAACTTTGTTTCCAAACTTCATTTTTCAAAAAACCGCAAAAACTTTCTTTCCAAAACTCATTTTTCATAAAACCGCAAGAACTTTCTTTCCAAAACTTTTTAATCGAAAAACAACAAAAACTTTCTTTCCAAACCTCTTTTTTCGAAAAATCGCAAGAATTTTCCTTCCAAAACTCATTTTTCCAAAAACCGCAAGAACTTTCTTTCTAAATCTTACCCTGACCTACCTTACCCTACCCTATCATGCATTGGCCTACCCTAATATACCCTGCTGCGCCCTACCCCTTACATTACTGTATCTTACCATACCCTACCCAAACCTGCCTTACCCTCCCTATCATAACATATCCTACCCTACCCAAACCTGCTTTACCCTCCCTATCATAACATATCCTACCATGCCCTGCCCAATCAAAACCCCCAAAACCTACATCCTTATCACTCATTTCGGGCGTGGGGACCGGTTTCTTGGCCTCATACCCATTGTAGGCGCCTTGTTGTTGTTGCTTCTGAGCGGCGTTGATCATCATGCCTCGGGTCTTGTTGCGCTCCCTCTTCTCTGCCATTCTCTTCCGCATCTGCACGATCTTGTCCCGGTTGGTCCGGTACTCCAAGGCGAACTCGGCTATCACCTTGAAGACGGCCATCGGCTTCAGATCCTTGACCTCTTGAGCGCTGTAGCCGAGGTACAGGAGGAAGGAGTTCCATTTGTAAAAGGCGTGACGATGGGCTCGTTTCAGGTTGTGAATGCGCTCCGCCACCTCGGTCAGGTAGCTGGTGACCTTGGTTTTCATGCTGGAGCTGTTGTCCTTCGAGGCGATCTTGGCTACGTAGTCGAAGCAGGCCTTGCAGTCCTGCTCCATCTTCTTCAGGTTATCGTGCACGGCGTCGAAGTCAAGCTGAAAATTGATTCTTAGGCACAAATAGCAAGAACTTTCTTTACAAAGCCAAAAATCGCAAGAACTTTCTTTACAAAACAAAAGTTGGCAAGAACTTACTCTAGAACACCTTGACGTTGCCCCGAATTCACTATGTAAGTCTGAAGATTCCGGTACTCTGTTCAACATCAGTTCGGCCGCATGATAAGTGAGTGGATACTTATGGACCGCGTCTTTGACTTCGGAAGCTCGCGATAGGAAGTCAAGTTGGAAGGCTTGGATCTGGAATGTTGAAATTAGATCAAAATTTAACAGCCCTACCCTACCCTACCCTACCCTACCCTACCCTACCCTACCCTACCCTACCCTACCCTACCCTACCCTACCCTACCCTACCCTACCCTACCCTACCCTACCCTACCCTACCCTACCCTACCCTACCCTACCCTTCCCTACCCTACCCTACCCTACCCTACCTAATCCCTTTAAAAAATCTACCCTATCCTCAAATTTAACTCTACTTTCAAATTTTACCCTGCCCTCAAATTTTACCCCGCCCTCAAATTTTAAGCTTTCTTTTAAGATATCTACCCCGCCCTCAAATTTTACCCACCCTCAAACTTTACCCAGCCCTCAATTTTTACCCTACCCTCAAACAATTTTTACTCTACCCCCGCCCTTTAAAAAATCTACCCTAACCTCAAATTTAACCCTACTTTCAAATTTTACCCTGCCCTCAAGTTTTAAGCTGTCCTTTAAAATATCGACCCGCCCTCAAATTTTACCCTAACCTCAAATTTAACCCTAATTTCAAATTTTACCCTGTCCTCAAATTTTACCCCTCCCTCAAATTTTACCCTTTTCTCAAATTTTACCCTGCCCTTTAAAAACTCTACCCTATCCTCAAATTTTACCCGCCCTCTCAAAAATGTACACCATCTTAAAAACCCAACCCTGTCTTGACCATAATGTCTCATTTGTAGAGAAGGTATGGTTTGGGCATGGTAAAAACAAACGTTGTAAACTCACATCAGTGCCATTAAGAGCATTGCCAATGGTCAAGAGTACTCCCATGACTTGTCTGAAGGTCTGACTCTCTTCCACTTCGAGCATGGCATTCTTGAGCTCGTTTAGACTCTCCGAGACATCCGCCTCCATGGTGGGGTAGTCCAACATGAACATCCACAGCCTTAGCCGCTCCAATAAACAGTCAATTTCACTCAATGATAACATGAACTGCTCCGCCTGGCCTAGGGGCATGTCTGGGTGTTCGTACTGTTTCTCCTTGATGCGCTCCACCTCCTCCACGGTGGGCATCATGGTCTGGAGGATCTTCTCGATGGCATCCTTGTTCAGCACCGCCGAGTCGAACTTGCGTATCGCTGGGGGTATGGTGGAGATGGGGGGTAGTTTGGTCAGTCCAATGTTGATAGCTTGTGACCTTTTGACTGATAGTACTTGTAGTACTTGAGGCTTGTGCACTTCGCCCGCCTTCTTCGACGGCACCTCCTTCTGCTTCTGCTCGAACAACTTGGTGAGGTTGGTGACGTCGATCTGCGGCTTCTCCACCTTCTCCCAGAAGTTGCCCTTGTTCTGGAGCATTGGTACCGCCGCCAGTGCATCAAATTGGGCCGCCTTCCAATGCAGTCGCACAGTACCACCTTTGGAAGCCTCGGTCATACTCATCGACATACCCCCATTCTTCCACATTGGCGGGGGTGGTGGGACCCCGCTCCCATTCAATGGCGGTGGCATTGGTACGCCGCCTCCATTTAATGGTGGTGGGGGTGGGATAGCACCATACATACTACGAGTACCATTGTTTCGATCTTGTTGTGCTTGAGCTTGCTTGACTAGAATTAACGGGTCCTGCTCGAACTCGGCCAGTGCTGAGAAGTCAATGTCGTTGAAGACCATGGGCTTGTTCTTCACCTTCTCGGCCGCCTCTCGCCAACGAATCTCGGATTCTGATTGCTTGGTTTCGAGAAGACCTTTACGGAAAGTGGAGCCGGATTCCATTTTGGCCGCTTTTTTCTGAAAATTGAAGGCATGGTAAAATTTGAAGGCGGGGTAAAAATTGAAGGCGGGGTAAAAATTGAAGGCATGGTAAAATTTGAAGGCATGGTAAAATTTGAAGGCGGGGTAAAAATTGAAGGCATAGTAAAATTTGAAGGCGGGGTAAAATTTGGAGGCAGGGTAAAATTTGAAGGCATGATAAAAATTGAAGGCGGGGTAAAAATTGAAGGCATGGTAAAATTTGAAGGCGGGGTAAACTTGAAGGGTAAATAAGATTTTTTAGAAGGCGGGGCAGAAATTGAAGTCCGGTGTGTTAGCAAGGTAGGGGTAGGCTTTTCGAGGTAGGGATGCATTTTTTGTGGATAAGATTCCATTGTGTAGGGTAAGGTCAGTAGAGAAGGCAAGGTAGGGTAGGGTAGGTTAGATTAGGGTTGGGTAGGGTGAGTAAAGTAGGGTAGTTCTCACCTTCAGCAGAGCAGCGAATCCGCCCTGGGCCACCGTCTCATCATCTGAATCCTCTTTCTTTTGTGTCAGAACCGGCTTGACGGGTTCCGGTTCCGGCTCTTCGGCCGGTTCTGGAAATTCCATGGTCTTCAGCTCGGTGGGTGAGAAGATATGGCTGGGAATGTTGGGAGGGGGTGCTTTTGGCTGTGGCTTGTCACTGTCAATGTTCTCCTTCTCGTCGTTCGTGCCGTTACTACTCACGGGGCTGATCATGGTGGAGGGTAGAGGGGGTGGTGGGGGGATGCGGGGGTGGTTTGGATTCGTTGTTCTTCTTCATAGTCCTTCTGAAGGTAGGTGTTGTTGTTGTTGGGTTCGAGGCCGTTCTGTTCGTTGGCACGCCATGGCGGTGGTGGGGGTGGTTGGACGTACTGAAAAAATTGAGTTTAGGGGGTGTTTTAGACATTATTTTTCATAAATAATATGTTATTGTAGTCGTTACAGTACTCTACCCTGCCCTACCCTACCCTACCCTACCCTACCCTACCCTACCCTACCCTACTCTACCCTACCCTACCCTACCCTACCCTACTCTACCCTACCATACCTTACCCTACCCTACCCTACCCTACCCTACCCTACAGTATTCTATCATACGGTACCTAACTACAGTATTTAAAATCCTATCTACAGTACCCCAATCTTAACTACCGTGCGTCATCCTACAGTACTCCGGGCTGTTTTAGGCTTACTTTACAGTACCCTGGCTTTATCGTAAAAGACCTTATCGTACCTATAACCTATATAGTATCGTGCCCAACCCTACCGTAACTTGCTCATACAGTATCCAGCTCATCCTCAACCTACAATAGTTACGCTATTTTAACCCACCAATATTCTATCTTAATTACTCTACAGTAAACTACATTAAACTACCGGAATCTACAGTATACCGCCTGTCATTACAATATCCTACCGTAAACTACCCTGCTCAACATACCTACCCTGCCCTAGCGTGTTTTGCCCTACCCAATCGCACCCTATACTATGCTACTCTATCCTTACTAATCCAACTCTGCCATATCCTACTTTAAACCGACCCTACTCTACCCGCCCTATCACTTACCGTACTACCATTAACACTGTTCCCATTACTGTAGCCATCATCCGAGTTCCTTTCGAAACTGTTTTTCTTCTCAAGTTGCTGTTGTTGCCGCAACTCCTCGGCTTCTTGTTGCCTTCGCCGCATCATTGAGCGACGATCATTGTTGTTGCCATTCTGTACATTATTAACATTATTCTCGGCGGCACGTTGTATCGTATGGGCAGCCGCCGTGCTTGGCTGGGAGTTTATGACTGATGTGCCATTTCTGAAAGATATAGGATGTTATACATGTACTTGGTAGGGGGCGAGAGAAGAGAGGGGGGGGGGAAGGGTAGGGTAGAACTTGTTTGAAGCAGAAGGATAGGGGGTAGTAGGGGTAGTCGGGGGTAGTAAGAGGTAGTAGGACTAATAGGAAGTAGTAGAGAGGAGTAGGAGCTAGTAAGGTAGTAGGGTGTAGTAAGGTGTAGTAGGGAGTATTAGAGGGATAGTAGAGGGTAGTAAAAAATAGTAAGTAGTAGGAGTAACATACCTCATTCTAATAAGTTGAGGATCACTGTCATCACTCTGAACGGCCGCATCCTCCTTCCTGACCTCATGTTCGTAATGTTGACATTGCTGAGTTAGCTGAGGGTCTTTTAGACTGTACATTTGCTTTAAAGCTTCTTCTAACCCCAGGTTCTCCAGACAATCGACAACGTCAAAGAAGGTGTCCTGGAAATAGCAAATTTTAAAATTTTTTTTCAAAATTTTAAATTTTCAAAAAAAAAATTTTTCAAAATTTCAAAAACCACCCCTACCTGATCAGGAATGCCATTCAAGGTCTTGTTAACCACTGTCATGCCCAAAATCTGAGTTTCCACGTCGCTAGCCTTCTTATCACACAGAATCTTCATCAGTGATGACCACTCCGGCTTGCCTTTGGCCTTCTCCACCTTGCTCAACGCTGACATCAACAACAAGGCATTGGACTCGGTGTACTCGACAAAGACTAGTAGAAGCTTTAGAGCTGTTTTTACGACCAGTCGATACTACAAAAGTGCATTTTTAAAACTTTTTTTAATTTTTTTAAAGAAAAATAGTCGCGTCAAAAAGAATTGGGTGATTTCTTATGTAATTTGCACTGAAATCGGTCAATTCTTTCTGACGCGACCGTTAATTAATGTTAAAAATAGGTAATAACTTTCTAATAGAAGCAAATTCTACAAACTTTTTAACCGGTAAGTAAACACCACACTTTGTATTAACTATTGCAAAAATTTCAACGCGCCATTCTTTTTGCATCAATCAGAAAATAAGCTTTTCATCCGAAAAATGGCACTTTTTTGTCCAAAAATGAAGAAAAAGCTATACTTTAGGTAACAAAATAGTGCTAAAACCATTTTTCTAGGTAACACACATTCAGTACTAGCTATCACAAAAAATTAGACGCGCCATTCTTTTTGCATCAACTAAAAAATTGCCTTGAAAGTCCAAAAATCGAGCAAAAACTGCCATTTGTGGCCACAAATATTGTTAAAACGGAAAATTTAGGTAACAAATCACACATTACACACGACAAATACACTCTTTGTTAATTTGACAAGAAATTCAGAGGCATATCACACACGATATTACCCATTCTTGCCGATGCTGGGTCATTTCCTTATACTCCTCCTCGTTATACAACTAAAATACGAACAGACATGAAACAGACATATATACAATTACAGTGGTATTTTTAACATATATTTAGAAAACAAACTGATTTTTAAAGCTACAGCGGTTAAAAAATGACACAGAAAGCTTTGAAATCGGATTTTTTGACTGCACGGTGCAATCGAGTTTTGTAAAATGTACCGTGCAGGGTGTCCTAGAACGTTTGGACCAAAAATTTTAAAAAAAAGTAAAAAAGCATTTCAAATAGTCTTATTCTACATCGATTTCAATACCAAAACATTTAAAACCCGCTTTAAAATTAAAAAAATTAATTTACCGATTGCACGGTGCAACCATAAAATTGAAAAAACTGCACCGTGCAGTCTTTAAAACCAATCTTAAGCCAAAAAAATCAAAATTTAAAAAAAATTTTCATAAACTATGATTAAATTACTCACCGGAGACTCCAGCAGCTCATATAGCCAACATATCGTGCCACTGTGAGCGATGATACCGTTCATGCCATCGACGTACAACATTAGCTGGCCTAGGGCTGAAAATGGAAAAAATAAGTTTGAATTTCATTTTTAGATGAAAGAAAATTAAAATCGGCTTAAGGTAATATTAAACAGACTTAAAACAAGACAAAAACCTTGAAAAATGACCTAAAACAATATAAAAACGGACAGAACTTGCTGAAAACAATAAGATAATGCTCAGAAATTACCTAAAGTAATAAAAAATGACATAGTAAATCTTTCAAAAGCTTAAAAGTTACCTAAATTAATAGAAAAACCATCAAAAATGGCCTGAAACCAAACGAAATCGCTGAAAAACTGCCTAAAACTATATAAAAACCGTCATATCTTGCTGGAAATAATAAGAAAATAATCATAAATTACCTAAAATAATAAAAAATATTATAATAAATCGTCCTAAAAGCTCAAAAACTACCAAAACTAGCAGAAAAAACATCAAAAAAGACCTAAAACAAGACAAAAACCTTGAAAAACGGCCTAAAACAATATAACTTACCCCGTAAAATATGGTTCTGATGAGTTTGGTCCGATTCCCTACCCAATTTAATAAGACAATCCAAGCCTTCATTCTGTACAAACTCATGAACCAAATCCTTATCGTCTTGGAAGATCTGCTTCAAGGAGAACAACGCTCGACGTTGATCTCTACCCGACATGTACAACAACTTTTCTGAAAAATTTTTTTTTGCAAAATACGTCTTTTGACAACCTTTTTTTTAGTATTTTTCTTAACTCTACCCTACCCTCTAAAAAATCTAACCTGCCCTCAAATTTTGCCCCGCCCTTAAATTTTACCCTGCCTTCAAATTTTACCCTCCCTCAAATTTTGCCATGCCTTCAAATTTTTCCCTATTTTTAAATTTAACCATGCTCTTAATTTCACCCTTCCTTCAAATGTTACCCTGCCTTCAAATTTCACCATGCCTTCAAACTTTACCATGCCCTTACATTTTACCGTGCCTTTAAATTTTACCCCGCTCATACATTATACCTTGTTTTTAAATATTTACCATGCCCTTAATTTTACCATGCCTTCAAATTTTACCCTGCTTTTCAATTTTACCATGCCTTCAAATTCTATACTGCCTTCAAATTTTATCTACCCTACCAACAACCCCCTTAAACAAAACAATTCACCCTGCCCTGCCTAAAAGTCAGCACCATTTACCATGCCTAGCCCAAAAATGAGCACCTTTTACCCTGCTCTGCTAAAAAGACTAGCACTATTTACCCTGCCCTGTCCAAAGGTCAGAACCATTTTCCCTGCCCTGCTTAATGATATGTATATATACATAACAATATATATATATATATACAAGCCCAAAATGTAAAGTAAAAAATGTAAATGTAAGAACCTATATATTGCGTGTAAACTTTTTAAAAAATATGAAATCCTGATAAATTTCAAAATTGTTATGGCCAAAGCCCACTAATTACTGGCCATTTTACCCGCCACAAACATTCGAAAGCCTCAGGGAAAAACAAATTTTGATATCTCTCAGACATTATTACAATGTAAATGGGATTGTATTGATATTGGGTAGTCAATAGAAGGGTATTTTTTGGGTCAGGGCTGATATTAATAGAAGTCGAGGTAAAAAAGAAAGGTTAATGTAGGGTAGGGTAAGGTAAGATAGAGTAAGAGTATTAGGGGGCAAAGCAAAGCAAGGCACAGGCACAGGCAAGGCACAGGCAAGGCACAGGCAAGGCACAGGCAAGGCACAGGCAAGGCACAGGCAAGGCACAGGCAAGGCACAGGCAAGGCACAGGCAAAACACAGGCAAGGCACAGGCAAGGGTAGGGCTAGGCAGGGCACAGGCAAGGCACAGGCAAGGGTAGGGCTAGGGCAGGGCACAGGCAAGGCACAGGCAAGGCACAGGCAAGGCACAGGCAAGGCACAGGCAAGGCACAGGCAAGGCACAGGCAAGGCACAGGCAAGGCACAGGCAAGGCACAGGCAAGGCACAGGCAAGGCACAGGCAAGGCACAGGCAAGGCACAGGCAAGGCACAGGCAAGGCACAGGCAAGGCACAGGCAAGGCACAGGCAAGGCACAGGCAAGGCACAGGCAAGGCACAGGCAAAACACAGGCAAGGCACAGGCAAGGGTAGGGCTAGGCAGGGCACAGGCAAGGCACAGGCAAGGGTAGGGCTAGGCAGGGCACAGGCAAGGCACAGGCAAGGCACAGGCAAGGCACAGGCAAGGCACAGGCAAGGCACAGGCAAGGCACAGGCAAGGCACAGGCAAGGCACAGGCAAGGCACAGGCAAGGCACAGGCAAGGCACAGGCAAGGCACAGGCAAGGCACAGGCAAGGCACAGGCAAGGCACAGGCAAGGCACAGGCAAGGCACAGGCAAGGCACAGGCAAGGCACAGGCAAGGCACAGGCAAGGCACAGGCAAGGCACAGGCAAGGCACAGGCAAGGCACAGGCAAGGCACAGGCAAGGGTAGGGCTAGGCAGGGCACAGGCAAGGCACAGGCAAGGGTAGGGCTAGGCAGGGCACAGGCAAGGCACAGGCAAGGCACAGGCAAGGCACAGGCAAGGCACAGGCAAGGCACAGGCAAGGCACAGGCAAAACACAGGCAAGGCACAGGCAAGGGTAGGGCTAGGCAGGGCACAGGCAAGGCACAGGCAAGGGTAGGGCTAGGCAGGGCACAGGCAAGGCACAGGCAAGGCACAGGCAAGGCACAGGCAAGGCACAGGCAAGGCACAGGCAAGGCACAGGCAAGGCACAGGCAAGGCACAGGCAAGGCACAGGCAAGGCACAGGCAAGGCACAGGCAAGGCACAGGCAAGGCACAGGCAAGGCACAGGCAAGGCACAGGCAAGGCACAGGCAAGGCACAGGCAAGGCACAGGCAAGGCACAGGCAAGGCACAGGCAAGGCACAGGCAAGGCACAGGCAAGGCACAGGCAAGGCACAGGCAAGGCACAGGCAAGGCACAGGCAAGGCACAGGCAAGGCACAGGCAAGGCACAGGCAAGGCACAGGCAAGGCACAGGCAAGGCACAGGCAAGGCACAGGCAAGGCACAGGCAAGGCACAGGCAAGGCACAGGCAAGGCACAGGCAAGGCACAGGCAAGGCACAGGCAAGGCACAGGCAAGGCACAGGCAAGGCACAGGCAAGGCACAGGCAAGGCACAGGCAAGGCACAGGCAAGGCACAGGCAAGGCACAGGCAAGGCACAGGCAAGGCACAGGCAAGGCACAGGCAAGGCACAGGCAAGGCACAGGCAAGGCACAGGCAAGGCACAGGCAAGGCACAGGCAAGGCACAGGCAGGGCACAGGCAAGGGTAGAGTAGGGCTGGGCAGGGCATTTTGAAACTTTCACATAAAAAAATGTCACACTTACCAATTATGGCTTTGACCCGTAGCTCCGGCTTCTGACGTAGCACCAAACTTGATCGGAGCCTAAAAATCAAAATATTAGTTCAAATTTTAAATTTTAATCAAATTTTAAAATTTCAAAATTTTTTAAAATTTTTTTTAATTTTTATTTATTTTTATTTCAAGCCAGTTTTTTTATTTTATATCTAGAATTTTTATTTTTTTTTAAATTTAAACGCATTCTGCCATTCCTATTCATACCGTTCCTCTTCCTGAGCATCGTGCTCTTCTTGCATCCTTAACTCCTCTTCTATGTCATCAACATCCATCTCAATACCTGGTAATATCTCTTCCTTCTTTTCACTTTCACAGCTCTTATCACTACAACTACTAGTCGTCATAGCATCTATCTTATCACCACTTATCATATCTTTTATGCAATTACCATTTCCGGTCAATAAGTTCGTGGAACTTGTAGTTTTAGACAAAAAACTGGCAGAATTCTGATCTTTAACAGGTAATCTGACCACTTCCTCTTTTTTAGTCGATAACTTGGTCGATAAACTTCCATCTGTACCAATATTCATTTTCATAGTACCAATAGTACTATTTGTTCTTGAAACAGCACTGTTTTTATTATCGACAGGTTTAGTCTCCAGAAATCGACAGTTTTCCTTGCGCCATCGCTGATGTTCTTGACGGTCGCCCCCACACTTACAGCTGGATTTGCGACGTGCCAGCCGGTTGGTTGACGACTCAATTTTTTTCTGAAGCTTCGTAAGACCTGTAGCTTCATTATTCTTCAGCTTTACTATTGAATCCGCCATGGTATTTGAGGAAAAGGTCTTTGAAAACTTGGTTATATTGTTATTGACGTCATCTTTAGCCTTACTTTTGTTTTGACTATCGTTAACGCCTTTAGAAGCACTACTACTGAGGTCATCGTGACTATTATGACTGCTACAAGTCTCTTCTACATCTATACCATCATTTGAATTTAAAATCTTATCACTATCATTAGCTTTGTCATCATTTTTACAGCCGTACCTCTTCCCGACCATATCATCAAACACGCTATCATAACTCTTGTTTAAACTACCGTAACCAGCACTTGTGACATCATCCTTTTGTTTACTGTTACATTGCTTTGTCTTTAACGGTTTTGTCAAAAACTTGGAGGTATAGCTGCTTAAAGATGTCAGTGGTGACATGTTGAAGATGGTTGAGGCTTCTTTCAGCGAACTTTGGGCAAAACTTGGTCGTTTTTCTAACGAATTTTTGGAAAAATCGACCGGTATATATTGGTTTTGTTGTTCTTGATTATTGTTGTTGTCGTTGTCATTTTTTGAATTTATTTTTGAAAGGTTAGGTGCTTTACCGGTCGAAAAAATTGACTTTGAAGAGAAGTAATCATCATTTTTTGTCATAGAGCCTTCATTCTTGGGTGAAATATCATACTTTTTAGGTAATAAACCATCATTTTTGAACGAAAAACCATCATTTTTCAATGTAATATCATCGTTATGACCCTTATAAGAAGCCTTCGAAGCCTTTGAAGACGTTGAGCTTAACGAATCTGTAAAGCTTATCGGCTTGGGCAGGGTGAAAAGTGATGTAGAGTCAGTAGATATATCTGTCTTTGTATTAGCATTGCTCCACTTGGACTTGTATAAATCTTCTTTTAAAAACTGAGGCTTGTAGGTTAAGGTTTTGGGCTTGGTATATGTGTTGGAAGGTTTATATTCGTCTTTTCCGTTAGGCGGTATAGGGCTTAAGGTACTTGAGGCACTGTAAGAAGCTATGGGCTTGTACTGATCTAACGGCAACTGATTTTTTGTGCTGTTTTGGCCAGAATCTTCTCTAAGATTGTTAGAATCTTCTTTAAGATTGTCAGAATTCGATTGGTACCATGATTTTCTAGGCTTTTCTTGAGCTCGTAAGATAGAAGAATCTGATGCAAAAGAGCTGAAATTGTCTTTAGACGTCGAATCTAGCCGAGGTAAGGTAGAAAATGACTTTTTGCTAGTCGTAGATTGATTCGAAGCTAAATTAGAGCTCAAGTTTAGGTGTGAACTCAAAAACTTGGCTTTAGAGAAAGGCCAGGAAGGGGTGGATTCTTCAACTAAATTTGATGTTGATTTTGTCAGCTTTTTGTCACAGTTTTTTGTACCGTTTGTACCGTTAAGCTTTGGTGAAATCGTAGGGGTAAGGCTTGGCAATGTTCTGTTCAACGTGGTTGGCATTCTATTGAAGTTAGCTGAGTAAGTTTTGTCTTGATGACTTTCCGTAGAACCTGGAGCTACATTAGAAGTAGTTGAAGATCCATACGTAATTGAAGCCCCATTAAAAGTAGCTGAAAAACTTTTGTCTTGATTGCTTTCCGTAGAACCTGCATTGATATTATGTGACAATGTTCCATTAGAAGTAGCTGAAGTACCCTTTAAAGTGGTTGAAGCTCCATTAAAAGTAGCTGAAGTTCTATTAGAAGAAGCTGAAGAAGTCTTGTCTTGATTACTTTCCGTAGAACCTCTATTGATGAGATGTGGCAATGTTCCGCTAAAAGAAGACGAAGCTTTGTTAAATGTAGCTGAATCACCATTAAAGTTAGCTGAAAAACTATTGTCTTGATTACTTTCCGTAGAACCTCTGCTGATGAATTGTGGGCCATAAGAAGCTGTAGCGTCTTCAAACTTGAAAGACTTGGCTTTATATGGCGAGCTTTGACTTGAGTTTTGTAATTCGTAAGAGGACTTCTGGTTACCCAAGGACTTTTGGACTCCAATCTTGTCTCTTTCGTCTACTTTAACATCCTTTTTGAAGCTTCTGTTTCGTGTGTAACTAATATTGTAAACATCATCATGGTCCACAATAGCATCAGTACCACAGTATCGAATTGGCTGAGTAGGCTTTGAATCGTATAAACTTGTAGCCTTTGTGAGCTTTGTCATCTTGTTGTCAAGTATATTTGTATTACTTTTAGTGCTAAAGACTGGTGTATATGTAGCCGAGCCTTGAGAAGAAGTGTAAGGTGAGTCTTCGTTGGAAGAGTTTGGACTAGAAGAGCTTGAGTTGCCGGCTGAACAATGACTGTAAACTGATAACGGTCGTGTTTTGGCTGAAGCTGTAGGCTTTGTAAGTACGGTAGAAATAATAGGACCCCGATTGTTAGGTAACATAGCTTTAGGTGATAAGTTTAAATCTCTGCGGCTTCCCAACAAGATTTTACTATTGTCGTATCTTTGTATAAAGCCATCTTTTTGGACCATAGGTCTTCCATAGGCATTGTTAGTACCATCTTCATATGTATTACTAGTACTGTGGCCGTACAAGTTTTTAGCACTGTCTTCAAAAGGGCTCTTAGTACTATTATAAGTCTTAGTAGTAGGCTTAGTACTATCATAGGTCTTTATCACATTCTTAGTACGATCGTAAGCTTTACTACTACTATTCTTAATATCACTATAAGCCTTGTTACTGCCATTGTTATTGAAATCAGCCTTAATTGGTTTAGGGGTTGGGTATGAGTTAATCAGCCCGTAGCCTCTTCGACTACCGTTGATCGGCTCATCAATATTATCAATATCAATATCATAGCACTTCAAAGCCATCTTTTTTCAAGTCTAGGTTACTTTGTACATGACGTAGAGAGTTCTGGGATAAAAAGATTTAAAGGTAAGCGTTTATAAACATGCACGTTCGACCCACCGTATTTTACTTGGTACTCAAGTATAAAAGTGGCATTTTTTTGATAAAGTCACAGTACGTTAGCCTTATAAAACGAACGTTATAAGGTGATATAAGTTATATAGAAAACTAAGTTTGTTTTTGCTAAGTATAATATAATAAATGGAAGTATGGCTACAGCAAAAACTAAAAAAGCTGTGTCAATAATGTAAAACATGAAAGATATTTATAGACATAAACCTCCAAAACAAAACTAAACTAGCCTAACCTCAGACCAATAAATTAATATATTCAATTACATTTTCAAGATATATATATGTATAATGATAAAATTAAGCCTAATTCTAACCTTAAAACTAAGCCTAAGCCTGGTTTTGAGCTTGAGCCTCTAAGCAAGAGCCAGAACCTAGGTTTGAGTATCGGCTTGAGCTTTGGCCTGAGCTTGAAATTGAGATTGAGCCAGAGTTTTAAGCGGAGCTTGACCTAAGGCCTAAGCCTGCACTTGGGCCGAGGCCCGTGTTGAGCCTAAACCTAAATCTAAATCTAAGCCTAAGCCTAAGCCTAAGCCTAAGCCTAAACCTAAACCTAAGCTTAAGCCTAAGCCTAAGCCTAAGCCTAAGCTTAAGCCTATGCCTAAGCCTAAGCCTAAGCCTAAGCCTAAACCTAAGCCTACACCTAAGCCTAAGCCTGAAACTAAACTTAAACTTAAGCTTAAGCCTGAGCCTAAGGCTAATAATAAAGCTATGTTTAAGCCTAAACATAAGGCTAAGCCAAAAAGCCTAATTTAAATATCATACGCATCTAAAAATAAGCCTAAACGCGTACCTTAGCATAATATACCCTCCCCCCCCCCTCCCCCAAAAAAAAACCCTCCCCTTTACCTTCCACAAAATATCAACAATAAGAACTACCCCCCCCCCTCCCCCCCCCCAATGCCAAAAATAAGAACCCCCTACCCCTAACAACAATAAGAGCTCCTCCAAATATACTTTATACACCCATCCCTCTTACTACCAAAAATGAGAGCCCCCTCCAAATACCAATAATACGAGCTGATGACATAACGTTCCTTATCAATTAAATCACCGCAGAATCTTGGTCGGTCGAAAAAAACGCAGTGTGAAACAAAATTCGAGTTTGTCGAGAATCCCGCTCCAAACAAAAAACCGCCGCAAGTGAAAAGTCCGCCGTTAAAGACCTACAAAATGGGATTGCGCCACTGTAGGAGTCGCTACAAACCCGCAGGGGCGGTGAGCCGCCGACTGCCACTTTCCATTTCATTTGAATATCACTCAATCGACAATCATCCACCGACTCGAATAGAAATGACATGATGGAATTCGGGTTCTATATTCATGTTCATATTGGAATGCTTTAGCCCTAATCTTAGTCGCAGAGTTAGGCTTAACCTTGAGCTTTAATTCTAAACGAAAGCCATAACTTAGATTTAAATTTAGGCTTATGTTTAAGCTTAAACAAATTATTAAGCTTAGGCTTAGTCTTAGGCTTATGCTTAAAATTAGCTTTAGGCTTAGGCTTTATACTTAATTTCAGCCTTAGCCCTAATCTCAGGAAGCCCCAACCCAAACTAAAGCGCGATCCTAACAATTTGTGCTAAAGCTTAACCTAAGGCAAGCATAACCCCAGCCCCAAGCTCTACTTGTAGATGTTTCAATTAATGACGTTAAATTCAAGTGGTTAGCACAATATAAGCATAAATAAGTTACAGTATTACTTACAGTATAAAAATTAAAAAACAAAATTAAAAAAAAAGTAAAATCGAATTTGAAAAAACAGTGAAATTCGAACTGCATTTAATTAGTGTCAATCGCAGTTCAGTGACAATTTTAATTCCGGAAATGTGGTCGGCTTCCCAACAATAAATAGCCTAATTTAGCTAATTTACCATTGCTTTTGAATTCAAAGCTTCAATTTTTAAAACTGGCTAAAAATTAAAAAAAAATTAAAATTTCAAAAAGATTTTAAAAATTTCAAAATTTTAAAAAAATTTCAAAATTCCCAAAAAATTTTTTTTTATTTTTTAAATTTTAAGCCTAAAGCCCAAAATTTTTAAAATACAGTTAAGGCTTAGTCATGACAACTTACATATCACCACGAAGCACATCCAACTCATCTGGCTGTTCTAGTATTGACAAGTCTGAATCCAGATAGGACCCGAGGTCACCAGTAGCTGATGGGCTTACTTGAAGCTGGGCGTCCCCTGGCTGAAAAATCAATTCGAAATTAGGTTGTTAGAGCATTTTAGAGTATGGTGAAGCGGCAAAAAAATTGTTTTTTCAAGGGTAAAGCAGGATTGAAATTTTTAAAAACAAGGGGTGTTTCAAAGCAAGGCAAAATTTTCACAAAAAAAGAAGAAAATTAATGGGGGGGGGGGAGAGAGGGGAGGGTAGAGTGGGCAGTATTTTTGAAAACGTGGGCAAATTTTTAAGGGCAGAGTATAATAGAACCTTTAAGTGTAAAGTAAGATCTTTAAAGTCAGGGTAGTGGTATGGCAGGGTGAATAATGCTGGGCAAGGCAAGGTAACTAGTGCTAAACTTGGGGCAGGGCAGAGTAAATGGTGATAAGTTTTGGGCAGGGCAGGGTAAATAGTGCTTATCTTTAGGCAGGGCAGGGTAAATAGTAATGTTTAAAGGAGATGTGAAAGAGAAGAATTATAGGGTAGGATACGATAGTAGAGGAAGGAAGGGCTGGGCAGGGTAGGATAACAGGGGAATACAGGACAAGGCAGGGCAGTTCAGGACCCGGCAGGATAGAACAAGTAGGGTAGGGTAGGGTAGGGTAGGGTAGGGTAGGGTAGGGTAGGGTAAGGTAGGGTAGGGTAGGGTAGGGTAGGGGATTCTTACCTTATGTGGAGCTCGTAGTCGTCTGATAATGTCTGGCATCTGTTCACCGATGGCTTGGTTGAGTACTAATGAGTACTTTAAAGGTAGCATGGGTTGTCGATCCGATGTGGAGACAAACGGATCCAGATCGTTGATGAACTGGATTCGAACGTCCATTACTTCGTCCTCGGCCATTTTTTTATTTGTTAGGGCCTTGAACGGCCGAAGGTAATAGTGAGTTCACCGGATTTTAAGGAGGATCCTGAAAAAAATAGCATTTAAAAAATTTTAAAAAAATTTGAAATATACAAAGTAAAATACGTTTGGAAAAATAAAAAACGCAAAAAAAGATTACCCTGCCTTTAATAATTCTACCCTGCCCATAAAAATTCCATCACGCCCTTAACGTCCTACCCTGCCCATAAAAATTCTACCCCGCCCTTAAAAGTCCTACCCTGCCCTTAAAAATTACCTTTGCCTTAAAATTCTACCCTACTCTGAAATAAATCACCCTGCCCACAAAAATTCTACCCTGCTCTTGAAACCACACCTTGCTTTGCCCAAAAATACCCTTTCCCCCACCACGTCTTCTCTGTTCCACCACCCCCCTTCAAAAAGTCAAAGTATTACTCGATTAAACTTTGGAATTGGTCGATTGCTTCGTTCTTTTTCTCATCGCAAAACGAAAACCGTTTTTTTTCACTCAAATTGTTTTTGTTTACGAAACGAAAAAGAAAATAACCAGGAATGGGATAAATAAGAGCAATTACTAGCCGCTAAACCTTTGATATCACTTAATTTGTAGAGATTTTTATAAACTTCAAAGTGGCAATGGTGAAAAAAGTACAAACTACCCTACCCTACCCTACCCTATCCTACCCTACCCTAGTCATGGAGAACAGGCCTACCATTGGGCCGGCCCTGAACAAAACTCAGATCGGGCCGGACCTGAAAAGTGTCTGCCCTACCCTGTCTTACCCTACCTTAACTTTTAAAAAACAAATTAAAAACTTACAAAAGTCTTGTCGCCATAATACACTAACTCACAAAGTAAAAAACGACAAAACTTTTTTACATTTTACAATAATTCTTGTTTTAAATTGTTGAAAACATTAAATAGCTAAAAGTTTTGTAGTATTTTCAATTTTTACAAACGACAGTAATTGTTATTTAACAAGCAAACGTTCGAAAATAAATTTGACAAGTAGTAGAGCAATTATAACATCGAAAATGTAACTGAGTTTTCGCTTTTTTAACGTTATAACATGCCTCTAGACTGTTCTTACTCTAGCCCTTACCCAACTTTTGTCATGATTTGACTATGCCCACGCCCAATACAAAAATTAACTCGCCATAGCTTTACTCATAACCCTAATCGTTCTCGCCTTGTCTTATCGTTGCCCTGTCTTACCCTAAACTAGCCTGCCTTAGTTCAACATTTGCCTAGCTACGGCCCAGACCTTAGTCCTAATCTTCCATAGTTGTAACAAAAAATATATGGAATTTCTTTACCCTGCCCTATATTTTACCCTACCCTATATTATACCCTAAACTTGAAAAGGGCCCTCTAGGCTCAACCCGGCGACGTTGCAAGTCTACAATACTCACTTTATACAAAACCCCTACCCCAACACATATCCATAACCTCTACCTTAACACATATCCATAACAAATACCAAATAAACACTACTATAACAAAACCAGCTACCAAATACGCGAACCAAGTTTTTGGTATGCAAAAAACAATATGATCCATACGCTTTTCGTAATCTGTTTTTCAAAAAAATACGATAAAACCAGAAGAGCTTTCCAACACAACTTCCTTTGCAATAACCATTATATTATAATACAAAAACACGTCATAACTATATAAAGCCCTAGCCTTGCCCTGGCCTTGCCCTGGCCTTGCCCTGGCCTTGCCCTGGCCTTGCCCTGGCCTTGCCCTGGCCTTGCCCTGGCCTTGCCCTGGCCTTGCCCTGGCCTTGCCCTAGCCTTGCCCTGGCCTTGCCCTAGCCTTGCCCTGGCCTTGCCCTGGCCTTGCCCTGGCCTTGCCCTGGCCTTGCTCTGGCCTTGCCCTGGCTTTGCCTTGCACTAACCTTATTATAAATGCTACCCCGCCCTTAAAAATTCCGTCTTACCCATAATAACCTACGCTACCCCACAAAATTCTATCCTACCCGTTAAAACCATACCCTACTCTTAAAAATGTTGCCATACCCTTAAACTTCTATAATACAAGTCCTACCCTGTCTTTAAAAAACCCACTTTCTTATAAAAGTTTTTACCCTGCCCTAAAAAATGTTACCCTGCCCTTAAAAAATTTCTCTTTTCTCTAAAAGATTCTACCCTGCCCATATAAAAAAACCAACAATGTTTTAAAAAAACCTACCCTACCCTTTGCACTAAAAAGTCATTTTTTTTAAATCTACCCCTAAAAATTTACCCCGCCTTTAAAAAAAATCCAAAAAAAAATTTTTTTTTGATTTTTAATTAAAAAAAGTTTTAAAAAATTAATTTTAAATTATCCGCCCCGTAAAAAACGGTTTTTCGCGACGAAATTCCTCTAATATTATACTTGAAACAATTTCGGAAATTTCCGAACACTCTCCCCGCCCGACTGACCTCAGTTCGAAACAATAAAATATTACAAAAGAATGAGACTCGATCATATAATTGACATCAAACAACATTTTTTATTTTTGCAAAGGAATCGCGACAAATTGGAGGAAAACAAACATGAAAATTGAAAATTTGGGCGAAATTTGAAAAAATTAAATAAAAAATTTCGAATTTCAAAAATTAAATTTTTTAAAAGTTTTGTATGCACTGTGCAGTTTTATTTGCTTGCACAGTGCAGTCTATCTTGATTGCACCGTGACTTATTTTCATTGCACTGTACAGTGTCTTTCAATATTCCACAATGCAGTCCTTTTTTTTGATTGCACAGTGCAGTCTCTTATTTGATTGCAATGTGCACTCTCTTTCAATATTGCACTGTGCACTCGCGACAAATTGCACACAGTGCAGTCCTTTTTTTGATTGCACAGCGCAGTCTTAGTTTCCCTGCACTGTGCAGTCTCTTTTAATAATGCACGGTGCAGTCTCTTATTTTCATTGCACTGTGCAGTCTTTTATCATTGCACCGTGCATAAAATGGCAAAGAATTTTAAGAAATGGCATTTTCGGAGTATAGTAAAATAAAAAATGACACTGTTAACAATATAGTAAAATAAAAAATAGCATTAGGTCTGGTATAAAAAAATGTCCATTTTAAAGTTTGATCAACTATAATATAATAGAAAAGTGTAAAAACAAGTAATACATTAAAAAACAACAATGTGATGACAATTTCAATACTGATAAGCAACAAAAAACAATAAAAACAAGATAACATTGTAGAAACTAGCCTTATCTTGTGTATTTAAATTCCATAAACCGCTTAGGTCAAACTGAAACCAGCTGTCAATTAAAGTTCACGTTCCGCTATAAGAGACAGACCTTAAAATCAAAATAAATTTAAATTTCAAAGTGATTTTAAAGTGTTTTGGCAAGATTACGCAACATTTTTTGGTTTTAGGAAAAAGTATCCACCTTCTTAAAATTAAAAATTTAGTTACCCCGCTTTTTCACGACCCCCTGTTAAACTTGAGGTTGAACTTACCACCCCCCCCCCTTAACACTTAAAAATTTGGATACCCCCTCTCCCCCCAAACCTCAACTCTGTTCAAACGTAAAGTTGAATTTTGTTCTAAGCGAAAAACAATGCCCTTAGGAAATGAAAATTGATCGGAATCACTTTAAGCAGCCGGAGGGAAAAGGAGGAAAAGTGGAGTTAATTTGAAATCCCCCGCTTGAACCAAATCCCCTCAGGGAAACGGGCTCAAGTTGATTTGAATACAATGAAAAAAGTAACGGATCGTGTGGGAAAAACAAATTAATGTACAGTAAATAGCTTGATTTACTGTATAGTAAACAAACTGCACTATACTGTACTAAGAGTTAACTGGCCAGCCCTAGCACAGAGCCCTAGCCCAGAACCCTAGCCCAGAGCCCTGGCCCAGAGCCCTAGCCCAGAGCCCTAGCCCAGAGCCCTAGCCCAGAGCCCTAGCCCAGAGCCCTAGCCCAGAGCCCTAGCCCAGAGCCCTAGCCCAGAGCCCTAGCCGCCATTTAAAAAGCCTGCCCCTCCAAACCAACCCTCCTCAAATTCCCCCCCCCCCCCTCTTCAAAATGGTTTTTTAAAACCACCCCCAACCAAGTTACCCCACCTAAATGATCCACCCCTAAATTCCATATTACCCTACCCTCAAAAATCGACCTTTTGTTTTAAAATTAACCCCCCTCCCCCCCCCCTCCCCCACTACTCCGCCTTAAAATCCACCCCCGCCCTAGCCCTATTTGTAAATAAAAAGTTTATCTCCTGGCCGATCCACCAGAATAAGTTATGTTTGTTTTGGCCAGCGTTTAAACCACGAGGCCCAAAACGATATTTGAGAAGCTGTTTGAGCGATATTAAGGTAAAACATATGAGGACATTGAGCTGGAAATAATATCTAAATTTTGCAAAAAAAAATTTTTTTCAATTTTAAAAATTTTTTATTATTGCACTGTGCAGTCGCTTATTTGATTGCACTGTGCAGCCTCTTCATGACTGCACTGTGCAGTCTTTTTTCAATGCACCGTGCAGTTTCTTTTTGTTTATTGCACGGTGCAGTTTTATTTGGATTGCACCGTGCAGCCTCTAAAACGTTTTCTAAGCCTTTTTTAACTATTTTAAGCTTATAAATCATTTAAAAAATGTAAAAAAAATAATTTTAAAACAAATAAAATTTTTTAAAATTTAAAATTTTCTTTGAAATTCAGATTTTAAACTCAATTTCATATATATACATAATCAAAAAACTTTTCGAAGAAGCAAAGTCGAGGAAAATCGACTTTCGCTTTTTAAAATGCCTTTCAATTTTGTTTTTCATTAATTTATGCGAATTTTAATGTCTAAGATCTGAAAATTGGCTTACGGACTCATTAATCCTCAATTACTTGTTTTTATGGTTCATTAAACATATCTTTTAGTGATGGGAAGGTTTTTGCACGGTGCAATCAATAAAAGAATGCACGGTGCAATAGAAAGAAGGACTGCACAGTTCAATGAAAAAGACTGCACTGTGCAATAAAAATGAGACTGCACAGTGCAACAA